GCTCTTTTTCTTCCCGCATTCCGCCGTATACTCGTTGCTCTCCGTCGTTCCTCCATTTTCATCACCCTTACACCTTTGACCCCTCTGTCCTTTTCCCTCCCCACCTCTTTCTCTCTCTCTCTCTCTCTCTCTCTCTCTCTCTCTCTCTGCACGAGGTTCGTTTTTTAGTCGAGCCTTTTCTCTTGCTCATCTCGCTCTCGTTCCTTTATTCTTAGTCTCTTTTCACCCCTGTGTACCGTCTTGCTTCGTATTTATGTATACACCCCCCCCCATTCCGCTTCCTCCTTTTAGTCTCTTATATTTTAATTTCTGCTCAACGTCAACATGCAGCGGTTGAATTCTCGCGAGAATATTCTCCCCGTCTCATTACGCAGTTTTGCCTCGAAAACGACAACGAAATTGGCCGAACGTTTCAGCCAACAACCCCTGCGGATACCTCTCGACAAGGACAAAAATATATCCGCCGCGCTTCGCAATTTATAAACATCGGTCCATTTGGTTCGCATCACACACACGTTAAAATCTACCAAGACCGCGCGCATCTCCATAATTCGCGCGAAGATTCTCATAATTCCTTTTTCACTCCAACTTTTGTAGCGCGTTTTACTTCTTCGATTCTCTAGAGTGAATAAATTGCGTTCTCTCCCCCTACCGCTCTCTCTCTCTCTCTCTCTCTCTCTCTCTCTCTCTCTCTCTCTCTCTCTCTTGTTCTCTCTCTCTCCCTGTCTGTTTCCAACCCTCGCGCACTTAGCTCCCTACATAGCCGTACGCATGTGCACCCCCGCGTAAAGTGCAGCCCCAAGCCGGTTGCATATCTCCACGCCAGGAATTGGAGTGGATGGCGAACGTGGGTACAATAGTTCGCATTGTATTGGATCTAGCCGAGTGATAGGCCCCTCTCTCGGCCTCCTCCCTCCCTCCCGCCCTCCGGCTCACCCACCCCGCGCCTCACCCTCTCTCGCTTCCTCTCGCCTCGCGTCGCGTCTCACTTGCCTCAACCCCTTCATATGCCCACCCTCCTATCGTATCTCATTTTCTGAAGGCCCGGCGTGAGCGCGTATTGTACCGCGCGCTATGCCCAAATCTCGCTATCTATCGCCATTGCGGCCAACTGCGTCGCTTCTGCCGTTTTGTGCCCTTTCAGCCGCGCTTTGGTTTAAGTGCGGCGTGCATCGCAAGCGGATTCGCTGGACGCATTCTGCGAAGAACGGCCATACCTCGTAACGATCGCAGCGCGATCCTCGCGCGATCACCGGCACCGTCGATATCACCGCGGAGTTATTCTCCATTCGTTGGAAGTGGATAGGGAATGTCCTTTTGATCCGCCCGATAAAATTCCGGCACACCGACTAATCCTTAGCTAAACCGTGCGAATATATTTTATCCTCATCCGCGTCGTAAATCGGGAAGAGCGTAATCCTTCGAAAATGATCAAAGACGACCCTCGCAGATTATTTAATTTACAGATACGTGAAATATTGAAATATTTGCTCTCATTCTGCAGACGTTTGCGTCAGTGCCGCATGTTTCAAAAAAATATAAAGAGGAGAATTTATCTACCACATCTCATCTTTATCTGGCCAATTTTTCTTTTTTTAAATCGTCTAAACACAACACTGAATATCACAGAAGGATGGACCTTATGGATGGACGACGAAACATCAGGAGCGGTAAGAAGGATTCGCTCTCCTCGACTGTTATTATCGACGCGCAAACTTGGAAACCCTCTTCTCTCGCGTCGCGCGCGTCAGGGGTGTTAATTTTTAACACAGTGTCCCGCGCGGATGCAGCCGCGTAGTCGTCAACCCGAAGCGCGTTCCCGCGCGAAAGAGCGCGCGACGGCTAAATACCGATGAAGCATCTGCGAGAAATAATCGTCCGCGCTGATTAACGTCGCGAACAACATGTCAAGCGTGCGGCGCGAATCCGGGCCATTGTGAACATCTGAATATCCGCGAGGCATGCGAATTCCCATATCTGATTGCGCGCGGATAGACTCGGATCTCATTTCCTGAGTACATCCAAGTATTTCATATATGGGACGCACGCGCGCTCCGGGCGAATGTTTCACTCGCGCACTCGCTATAATGCGCAGCACACAACGTGATATTTTGTTATCTTACACCAGGTGCTTCTCGCTAATGCTGTTTATTTTTCCGAAATAAATAGTTTTGCCGCGCCGGGCTGCGCTGCGGAATAATTCGGCGCGGTCCTCTAATTCCTAGCAATTCGTCCTTTAACCCTTTGAGACACGTATTTTTCAGAAAATCCGGATCATATGAAAATTTATATACGGGGTTTGTGGGGTCGCTGATGACGAATCCGTTATCAGATTTTCGAAATTCAGGATGGCGGGTCCAAGATGGCAGACTCAAAAATAAAAAATCGCGATAATTTCGGTGACAATGAGTTTTGGACCTCGAATTCGTAATCAGCGACCTTAAAAGCTAACCAAAGTACAATTTCAGCTAATCATATAAAAATTTTATGATCCGCCATCTTGGAAAATAAATTTTAGAATTTGGACCTCAGATTCGTAATCAGCGAGCTCAAAAACTAACCAGAGTACAATTTTAGCTAATTTTATATACATTCTATGATCCGCCATCTTAAATCCGCCATCTTGGAAAATTAATTTTGGAATTTGGATCCCAGATTCGTAAGCATCTTAAAATCATTCAGTTGTTGCCAGATTTATCTTCCTACCCCTTATGTTTATGATATATGCCAAAGCTGTTTAACTACAGGAAATTTTGATGAGAAGATTTTAGGTAAATGAATTCGGGATATAAAGGGTTAATTAGTATCGAGGAGCCACCGCTCTCGCGGTGGCAATTTGCGTGAGATGCAAGTTTTTGCGATTGCGCTCGACACGCTGGTGGAAACGAGTTCGATAACTCGCCTCATCTTGCGCAATTCGCAATTACACGTGGGAAAAATATGCCGCCGAAACGAGGCGGTAATCCGGCTGCGGGTAAACGAACGGTGCGTTTGAAAATTCGTCCCGTCCCCGATAATTTATCGCCACCCTCGCGACCCCCGTTGAACCACCCCTTCCTCGCCTAAATACGCGGATTTGAGTAATCGGACCCGCGTATGTCACGGTGATCCCAATAACGGCACGCGCGCAGATAATTTGCTGCATTAGTATCGTACAGCGTGTACGAGCCCGTTTCATATAATTAGGCACATGATCGGACGCGGCAAACACGCAATTATGGATTATTCGTTCCGGCGTGTAATGATACGCAAATACAAGTAAGCCGTGTGCGCGACGGGACGCAAGGAAAAGGACGCAACTGTAATCTTTCGCAGCGTGCGCTTCGTTTCATATTCCTGACCCCGGAAGAGTCGCGCAGCGCAAGAATTTACTCATTCATCTCCGCGTCATTTTTCCATGTTTTCCATTTTTATCGCTTAATTGTGGAATTTATCATTCATTCGTGCAGTTTTTTGACAACTCTTGTCCGTCGATGATGACGCGCGTACGACACGCAGGAGGATATTAAAGCGCTCGTGGAAACTCTCTCACAGACCTGCTCTTTCTTTCTCTCCCTCACTCTCTCTCTCCCTCTCTCTCTCTCTCTCTCTCTCTCTTTCTCTCTCTCTCTTTCTCTTTCTCTCTCTATCCGGTCTATTGACCGGACGTCGAAATAGAAACCGGCTGACGACTCGAGGACACAAGGACAAACGAAATTTCACGAAGAGTCCCTGAAAAATGGAATTACGGCGAAACCGTGTTCTCGTCGAAAAAGAGGATAGGGAATTAAACGGCCTTCGAACACGGCCCAAATAATTGATGCACGTCAATTAGATTTGTCAGGCCAATCGTCGTAATTAAATCAACAGGAACGCGAGGCATGAGCACGTACACATAACTGTCAATGGCCGCGCACGCGCGCGCGTACACGCACACACACACACACGTACCTTTGCGTGCGGCGCGACTGCGCCGTATCCGGCTATATTCGAGGGTCCACGCTACGTGAAATTTAAATTTCTCCAATACGGACACCGATAATCCCGTTGATTCGCCGAAACTGCCGTCAATTTGTGCCGCACTTTTCCGCCAACAGTTGACTATCTCGTCGGGCTGGCGCAATCATTACGCTAGCAATTGTCGGTCGCGCGCGGATGAATATCGCGGATCAATTCCGGCGTCTTTGCCGAAAATTCACTCGTTCGTTCGAGCATCGAAAGGATCGGAACGTCGCGTTGGCCGATTCCTCCTCGTATCTCGCATCCAATTGCGAGAAGCGAGCACTTGCGAGTTAGATCCGTGTTAAACCGCGGCGTGGATTAAGCGAGACGAGTGTACTTGTTATCGCGTATCAAATTGCGAATAAATTTTAGCCGGAAACTGAGCTCTCTCAGGAGGAGAAAGAAGAACGGATGCCGGATCGATGCCGCTGCTAATTAAAGCCGTTGGACCGCGAGGGAAATTTGCGCGGCGCTTACTACGAGTGCGCTGTGCTATCTTCTCTTGACCCTGTTGCGGATATTTTTTTTTTTTTTTAAATCACCGCGTTCCGACGGCGAACGCGCGGGGCCTCGGCAGGAAGCTCCGCGTCGCGGAGAAGGACGAAACGGCACCAAAGTTATGGGGATATCGATGAAGTACGAGAGAGCGCGCGTGTTGCTCGCTGACGTGTGTAACGCAACAGGTTTCTTCGCTTATTTTCGTAGTCTCGAGGGATACGAGATTAATATAGGTCGACGCGCGAGAGACTGACATAATAACGCGAATCGCTCGCTCCTGCTGTCCCGATGTATTTCCGGAAGCAAGCGAATCGCTCTGGACGCTTACGCACGTGTATTTCGCTGATCGCACCTCAGTCGATAATAACAGCGGATTGTTTTTAATTTAGCTTACAAATGAAAGTAAAGATTGCACCTTCTACGGAAAGGAAATTCCAAAGTTCATCTGTTCTCGTTCTTAACTTAGTTCGCTTATTGAGCGACTCTTACAGTTTTTGAAATAGAACATATTATTTTGTTTTATTTATCGAAGAGTACATTTTGGTTTTAGCAAACTTTAGTTTAACGAAACCTTCGCTGCGCCACTTTAGTGGCTCCTCAGATCGTACAAATTAAAACATGTATTTGCGGCCGATAACGACTTGTTAAATAAAATAATCTAATAAAAATAATCTAATAAAATAATCTAATAAAAAATAATCTAATAAAATCTAACAAAAAGATTTTAGATTCTGTTTGACAAGCGAAAATAAACCTTTCTTGATACAAATCTACTTTTCCTTTAGTAACGTGAGTCTATCGTTATAGCTTGGACATTATTGCCAGAATCATCGCCTGAACCTTGCGACGCAGGATCTTACCGGTGGGATTCTTGGGTATAGCGTCGACAAATTGCACCCCGCCGCGCAGCCATTTTTGCGGTGACAATTTCTCTGCAAGACAGATTGAATCGTTCGGTTATTACGACGGCCGCTATTAAAGTGCGATATTAAGGCGGAAAACGCGGGAAACTCCTGTCCCCTCTCGCTCCCCCTGTCGTACATTCAAATTAGAAGGAGAACGGCGATAACTGACAAAATTTCGTTAAGAAACGTGACGCTACGCGGCTGTAACTGCGCATTTACAATGGCGTTGCTAATAAGTAATAATCCCGTTAATGCAACGCGACGTTTAATGTTATCGCTACGTCACTCCGCGTTTGCTGCTGGCACACCATCATGCCAGCCCGCGTTCCACTCGCACATTTAGATCCAAACGGGATAATACGCGTCTAATCCTTGACGCGCATCGCGCTGCGAAAGATTCATTCATCATGGCTCCCATCGCGAGAGGCCAATGGACGTGACGGCTCGGGCGTTAATTTGTCCCCCGATAACCTCGTATTTGTTCGAAATTATCCCGACTCTCGTATCGTATTTAATCTTCGATAAAAGTCATCAAAGCACCCGCGTGACAAGTACAAGAGCGTCGACGAAACGCGGCGCGTTTTCGTCCGCCTGACGCAGGCTTCGCAGGGATGGTCAATGAATCTGCGAGAGAGAGAGACCACTCACGTTTGACAAATTCCATAATGTCGTGGGCGGTGAGATTGGCGCCAGGCTGTTTCACTATCACAGCCGCGGGCAGTTCCCCGCTGCGCGGATCAGGTATGCCGCAGACTGCAGCCTCCTTCACCGCGGGGTGCGACAGCAGGACTATCTCGATCTCCGACGGCGAGACCTGGTAGGCATTGTACTTGATCAGCTCCTTCAGCCGATCGACCACGTGCAGCGCACCTTGCTCGTCGTAATAGCCAATGTCGCCCGTGTGTAGCCATCCGTCCTCGTCGATGGTCTGCTTGGTGATCTCGGGATTGTTCCAGTAGCCCATCATCACTTGATCGCCCTTGAAGCAGATCTCGCCGGTCTGACCCACGTCCAAAGTCTCGAGTGTCTTGATGTCTACCACTTTGGAGTACATGCCAGCGATCATGTGATGCAAAATAGCGACGTCGTCCGTTTGGCGATCGCTCACGTGGGTCGCTATAGTCAACTCCGTCATGCCGTAAGCGTTGCATATGTATTTCACACCGAGGCGAGCCTTCACCGTCTTTATAAGCTAGAAATCGGAGAATGCAAAAGGGTTATTCCAGCTAACGTTGCGGCGGCAGGCTCTCAGCTCGAGCATCGTGAGCTCGTCGCGCGAGAACGAATGTTGTCATACGAGCGGCGAACTTTCTCGTACTGGAAGTTTCAAGTTTGCTCTTTCTCCCTCAAATTACCCCTCGCCCTTCCCAAGTCCCGCTTCAAATCCGCCGCGCGCGAGTGTCCTGCCTCAGCGCTGCGATTCGTTCAACTCGCAAGCGCGCAGGACGAAGGTGGCAATCATCGGCCGAAGAGCGGCTCGATGAGGCCCCCGTCGGATTTCACCGTCGAAACTTTCAAAGAGACTCCCTTGCTTGCCTGCGTTCTCAGCGATGAACGCTCGAGAGATCAGTCTCACATTTTCCGACAGACGCGACTGCGAACTCGCGAGTGCGATGCCTTTTATTTTCCACCCTCTCCCCTCCCCTCCCCCCCATCCCCGCCGCCCTGCTCGTCTCTCTCCCACAAGCGGCTGTAAACAGGTTAAACAAAAACGAACGCGGCGGACGATAAAGTTACTCCGGCGCGGCGGCGTGTCTCGTGAAAACGCGACGGCTTCCCAGATTTCCTCGCGCGGTCCCTCGATCCTCTCACCACCGCGGCATCGAGGACTCACTTCGGCACTTAGCTCCCAATGGCTTTTCTTGCCGTGATAACTTGGCGAGGCGGCAAAGGGGTTAAGGATGGGGAACGACAGCGAGGGGTCGCGACGAACTTCGCGGCTGAAGAAAACTTACTTCCTTCGGGAGCGGCGCTGCTCCGCAGATGATTTCTCTCACGCTGCGAAAGTCGCACCTGCCCACCAGCGGGTGCTTCGCCAGGAGCGTCATGATCGGCGGCACGACCGACAAAGAGGTAATCTTGTATTTCTCTATCAACCTCAGATACAGTTCCACCTCGAAGCTAGTCATTAGGACCAGGCTGGCGCCGCGTGTCAGGCACAGCAGCAGCAGGCCGAACGCGTAACCGTGATAGAACGGCAGGAACAGGGAGAATCGGGTGTCCGGCGTTATATTGAAGAAGACCGGCTTGCTGTAGTGTCGAACAACCATTATAACAGTACATTCCGCAGGTTCGAGTTTGGAATTGTACAGGTAAAATACGAGGTTTGATCAAAAAATAACGAGAATTTTGAAATTGCGCGTGCTGTGTCTTGTCTATTCAGTTGATTCCTTTTCGTGTGTTGGTAGCACTACCAGTGACGTATGTGTCAATTTTCAGGCAGGTGCGACGCTTGGTCTGTGTTTGGCGAGCGAATGAGCAAGACGTACTTCAGTGTGTTTGACGATCTTTTGTGTGGCGAAATGTCGGATCAGAGAGTTTGTCTGAAATTTTATGTTAAACACGGAATTCATTGCAGCGAAGCGTTCAAAACGTTAAAGAAGGCCTTTAGCGACGATACTATGTCACAACCACGAGTTTATGAATGGTACAAACGCTTTCAGGAAGGCCGAGAAGACATCGAAGATGACGCGAAGTCTGGGCGTCCTAGCACGTCCACCAGTGATGAAAACGTGGAAAAAGTTGAAGAGATTGTGCTTGCTAATAGAAGAATCGCCATTAGAGAGGTTGCTGAAGAAATAGGAATTTCATACGGCTCATGCGAAGCGATTTTTACTAATGTTTGGAACATGAAACGAGTGGCAGCAAAATTTGTTCCGAAACTGCTGAATTTTCAACAAAAACAGCATCGCGTAACCATCGCAAAACCACCTTATTCTCCAGACATAGCCCCCTGTGACTCTTTCCTATTCCCCAAACTCAAAAGGACGCTCAAAGGACAACGTTTTTCAACAATAGATGAGATAATGGCGAAATCGCAGATTCAGCTCAAGACGATACCTAAAGAGGCGTTCCACCAGTGTTTCTCAAACTGGAAACTACGTTGGCATAAGTGTATAATATCACAGGGGGACTACTTTGAAGGAGCTGGGATAAACATTGAAGATTAAATAGATACTTTCCGAGAAAATTAAAAATTCTCGTTTTATTAAATTTAAATTTTTATTAAGTTAAATTAAAAATCTTCGTTACTTTTTGATCAAATCTTATACCGTCTTTCATTTTCATGCAAAAAACTGAAGTTACTTTCCGAACATATATCGCGGTAGAGAGGGAAAAGACATTTAACGCTTTGATCAGTATACAGGCGTAGTGCCACTTTTGATTGAAACGGTATCGAAATTCAATTTCGTCTAATAGGCGTAAAAGGAATTTGCATTCCAACGTAACGCGGTAGTTGACGTATTCCCGACTTAAATATCGATCACTTCAAGACACGCTGCGCGGTAAGATTTGGCTTTCCTTAGAAAACTAGGCGTTTAGGCCGTGCTCCTTTCGTTGAAATGCAGCGGTGTATCAATTTAACCACGATTCGAAAATACATATAGCAAAGGGTACTAAATACGTAATTATTTACCAGAATTCGATTAAGAATGTTAATAAATTCCTGTGGGACAGTGTCACCCCTTTCGACACTCCCGTGGTGCCACTCGAATTGAGAATCACCGCTGGATGTTTGTTGTTGTCACCAATATCGAGCGCATTGTATCGCAGAAAATCCTCGTCTTCTTCGTTATTCAAGATATCCGCCAGTGTACGCACGTTGGCTGAGAGCGGCTCATCGTCCAGCTCGATTAGTTCCATGTAGGGTAAGCTTGACTGCACCTTCGCGAAGACTCCTTCAGTGCGCCGAGACACAAAGGCTATTCGCGGCATCGAGATGTTCAACAGGTTTCGAATTTCCCCTGGAAAATCATCATCGCGGAGCTGCTCCAAATTCTCATCAATATTCTCGCGCTTATCGAAAAATTAGGTCGAGACGTTGCACGCGTCTCGAATGGATTTCGCTAATTGCGCCTGACGCTCGTAAAATCGAAGACTGTTTCTATTCTTAGCTCGCCGATTGTGTAAAACACAAATGTCCGATATCGATACTTACATTCCGTGTACGCGGGATTGTACGGCGTCGTTATAGCGCCGATATAAAGCGACGCGTAAACCGGCACACACCAATTGAATCGGTTCTCACTCGCGATGCAAATTCTGTCTCCCATTTTGATTCCGTGCCTTTGCAAAAATCTTGCGAGTTTTACAGTCTGCTTGAGCAGGTCTCCGTTCGTCAGATGATTGCCGGTGTGTCCATCTATCTGTTGGCAGGCAGTGGCGAACGATAAAAACACAATTTTAACGTTGATGTGTCTTAGATCGCATCGCAGAATTCATATGAGAAAAAGCGCACACGCACGCTAGAAGCTGTCTGAAATAATTTTCCACTCGTCGTGTGAAATGTACAATCGCTAAAATTGCCTTCAGCAAGTTACGTATTATTGCTTGAAACACGGACTATTATTTAAGTTTCTTCCTTCCGTGCTTGCGGCTTAAATGCGGATTAACATAAAAATGAAACGTGGACAGGTGTGGGACTAGTCATTATGAGCGGTGCATAATGCGACAGCGAAAATTTAGAGATAAAATTCGCGGAATTTCGCCTCTTCCATCTGACGATTAGCGCTGATGGAACTACAAACGGCTCTTGTTCTTTCGCACGCTGTTTCGCCGCTTTTCTTTTTATTGCGCAAGCGATCGGTTTGCGACCAGCGTCGTAGGTGCGCGTTCGTAATTATGACACTTACTAGAAAGATCCGGTCAATATTCTGGCGCATTTTGTCCAGCAGCAATTGTCCCAAGGATACGTCCGGTATCGGATAATCCTTCGGGCGTCCGTATATTTTTCCCTGCTTTTCCATCCTCGCGGTAATATGGAACCTCTCTTGTCTGAAGTGATATTTTTATCTGTGGAAAATGATACGAGAATATTTTCTACAGAACTTTTTATTAATTCAAAATAAATGTTTTCTCGGTTTCCTACTCAAACGAACGTACCGTAATTTTAATGAGCTGTACAATTCACAACAACGTTAAATATATCCTCTTAATTAATGCTCGAGTTGAAATTTTAGACAATATTTGAATAGTATAATAATAATATTAATCGCGGGAGCACATTATCCGTTGATAATCATCTTTCGCCAAAATATTATAATTAATATTACGAGCGTTATACGCGTGTAAAACGCAGGTTCTATCAAAGCGGTTAGAGCTGAGTCGCTTATAATTTAGGTAAAAATCTCAGTCATTCACATTTGTGCCTAAATATTCATACAAAAACCTTCCGCGACTTGACGCTACCGAATCGCCTATCGACGGCGCGCCAAATTGTAACAGTTCGAACGTTAGTACAGCGAGACGACCGCCAGATGTCGTCTCAGTGGCGTGCGATCGTTCAACGGAAATGGCTACGTGTTTGATGTCGCGGCTCGGCGTTCGGGAAACTTTGGACAACATGACGAAAATAATTGTGACAGGTATCCCACGTTACATCAAACGCGACTCGTATTATTGTTCACTGCATCTTTTTCGCGCAAAGTCGCTCATCATGCAGATCGAACGGACTGAATCGGCACAGATTCGATCGCGTTTCAAACGTAGTTGCCTTAGCCTCTCTTTTAACAGTAATCTCACTTTGCGCATTTCAGATCGAGTCGGGCAAGTAGAAAAAATTATTTGTGCCGGAATGAGAAAGACGCGTAAGAAGTCGAGAGAATGAAAAACATCGTAAAAACTAGCACGGTGAGTCACGACGATATTTTATATCATTCTGTGTTGTGTTTATCTTGCGTGTGTTCATCGCTAAGATATTTGGCGCTTGGCGCCAAGTGATTCTTATCGTGACTCGTACATTGAATTTTCATACGTCGAAATATGCGAACACAGAAACTGTCGCGACTCTGAAACTGTCGCAATAAGAATGAAATTAAAATGTTGAGCTTTGGTATGCGCACACGCAGAGAAGGGAGAGACATATTATTTATGCAACTCCAAATTTCTCTCCTCCGTCGAATTGTCGAAGGAGACCATTTTCTTAGGTTAGGATTTTAGCAACTCAACATATTTTCGCACATACGCTTTCTTCAGCGTACCTCGCAAAGATATTGCCGAATTTGAAACTACCAAGTTCGATTTTTCGGCTTTTACACGCGCTCGGTAATTTTCGTATTAATAATTTCGTATACAACATATTTTCTTCCATTTTACGCTAATTGTCAAAAGAAATGAAAATTAAATGCGCATCGATTCAGAGCCAAGCATAACAGTCGAAGCGACCGGAGGGGTTACGAAATGTTTGGCGATCGTTTCCTTTCCATCAGAATGTGTGGCACGGTGTTCCTCTGGTATTCAACTGGATGTCCTTGGATATACAGGGTGATGTAGGGCGGCGAGTGGGAGGCAGGGAGGGAGAGATGGGAATGCGTCCTCTTAGGGATTAGACGTGAGAAGGGATAGAGACGCGTGCCACGAGTTCCATGCCGTGGCCATAATCGTGAGAAAAAAGTACGGGAAATTCTGTTAAATACCACCGTCCGAGTCCCTGCGCTTGGCCATCTTCTGCAACTCGCAGAGTGTGTGCTCTCCTCTCTTACTTTACTTTTTCGCAAGCTTATATCTCGCTAACGGCAATGTTACGTGCGTGGTATACACATAAATATATGATAACGATCACCGGCTAAGATTAAGAACCAAATTGGATCAAAGCTGAAAATTCATAGCATTTGAATTTCAAATGGCAACGAATTTAAATGGACTACACGCGTGCAAATTGCTGCGATATATTTTAATATATTATTCAAGGGGTAACTTAATTTTTATATCACTTTCAGAAGACTCTGAAAATGAATATTACATATTTGAGCGTCGAACGGAAGAAATCTGAATTGGATTTATGAGTCGTTCGCGACCTTCGACATCGCGATTATACATCGCGATTAAAAAGTTGTTCAAATTTGGCAGAATGTTTCATTCAGTTTATATAAAATTACCTACAGCTGGGAGAATGTAATTGTATATAAAGAGATTCCAATATTATTTCGTATCAAGTTCTCGTTTCAAACTAGCGCTTCGTTGCAAAAGACGATCAACAATGTATGAGCAATGGGTGTATGCAGAAAAATGAGGTCCGTCGGAAAAATGTATGTGTCATGTTTATGAATTTACATCAATTTTGCGAAAAGCACTTTACACCGCCTAGGAATTTCACCAGCGATATTAGTAAACAGAAAAATTAATATCACGCGATTATAAAGTGGGAGTCGCGTTTTGTACGCACCGAGAGAAAAAAGTAATCAACGTTACGAAAATTGTCGTCACCTTTGGCTCCGACGACATCTTTTCGCTGAATTCCTTTATATATAGTCGCCGATGTGTCAAACGCATTTTTTCCTCAATCCGCGCGCACGATTTTCCAGCTTTCGCCGGACGGCAGTAAACACGTACGCGGTAAACACGAATTTCACGGCACACACGGTGTGAGAAAGATACACTTTTCTAATTCCACACGTTGAAAACTCCTGCTCGGGAGAGCCGAGAAAGATGGGTCCCAGCGAGGAGAGACCTGCTCTTCAAGATAGCCGCGTAAAACGCTAATCCGCAATTTTTGCTGAAAAGTAACCTCTCTCGCGAAGCATTCCTCGCGCCTCCCGCGCGAAAGGGCATTGCCCTTTCAGGGGACAGGGGGAGGGAGGACGGGGGTTAAACGAAAGAAGCAGAGGCAAACGCGAGGCGCCCACATGCAGGTATGATTAGACCGCGAGCGAATCGACTTCCGGTGTTTCCCGCGACGTATGCTCCGCATCCGCGGGAATGCGTGCGACGGTGTACATCCGGTATCCAACCGCTTGTTGTCGGGTATTCGCGCAGGGAGGGGCAGGGGGGCGCGCGACAGCGGACGGGGGCGCGTTCTCCGGAATCACTGAAGTGCTGGGGGATCGCTCTTCGGGGTTAGTCTCGTCGTCGACGTGGACGAGGTTTCCGGGGGGAGGGAGGAGGGAGTTGGAGAAGCTGAGGGAGAGGAGCGGCAGCCGAGGGCGCGTGCCACTCTGATTGTAGCGGCCATACTGGGACACTGGAGGCACATACCGACGATTCTTGACCTCATGCGACGTGCCTAGACACCCCGGGAATACTTATGATCCCCCGGGGTCGAGGGATGGCCGGACACGCGAGAGGACCCGTCCTCTGAAAATCTCTGCCGAGGTTACTTTTCGTCCCTCTCGCTGTTACGAGCGAGGTCGTGCCGCGCTGAATTTTATTCGCCTCCACCGATATATCCGTTCTCCGCTCTCTCACGGTCGATTTGATCTCCGTGACACCGCCGATCTTTTGCGAGTTAATTGTCGCACGTGTGTCCGGGATGAGTGTGCTTCAGCCCTCTTCGAGTCCGAATCCTACAATTGCAGAAACGAAACGAAGCGGGCCGCTCGTTTCCATATTTGCAATTCCACATGTTTCATTATCAAAATGTTTAACGCGTTGCGTCAGGTAGTTGCAAATTTGATAGCGAGATGGAGAGTCTTGAAATAAATATTTCCGTGCGCCAATTTGCATCCGCAAAAATCAAGTCCGTTATATTATTTCTTTTTTTTTCGACGACAAAATAACACACACACACACGAAAAGTCCTGCAGGAAATCAGTCGTCCACTGATGAGACTCAGCTGAAAACATCTCGCGCGGAAATTCGCGACGGAGGTGTCGAAAAGCTACGCCGAGAATCTCGATGAATTTTCCGTCGGAAACGCTCGTTGCTGCAAATCTCCGTCGTAAGCAACGCTGAATGATTAAATCCTCTCCGAGCGTATATTCTCGCGAAATCTCACTCGGTATCGACATCGCGAGGCATCGCGATTAATCGCGTGGCGGGGCAGGATAGGGGATAGGAGGGAAGGGCGGGCGGGGGAGGGGGGGCGCCTGAGCGAGTGCCGATATCATTTCGGGATTCTCCGTGAGGATACACTCGACTTCCGGCGGAAGCGGTGCTCTCCGACGACGACGGGATCGGGAGCGATTTCGCGGCCCGCCGCGTTGAACGTAAGGCCGCGACTTAACGGAATTAACGACAGGCTACGCGCCGACGGAGGGACGCTTTGAGGGCGGCCGCCGCGAGCAGCGCCGGGGCGGCAACGGGCGGCGGTGGGCTCGGGGGTGGATTTTGATAACATGTGACTTTATCTGGAATTCTCCGGCGCGCAGGTAGTCTGTTTACTTAAGATAATGGCGAGGCGAAGTGCCTGGGCGTGGATGGAAGCCTGGCGGAGCGGAGGCAAAGGGATATTTCACCAGACAATGTTGAGTCTCCGCGAGCGAGCACGGGGTAAGACCGAGGGTAGAGCAGGGGGGGTGCGGCGGGAGGCCGGTGGTATGGGCAGAGGGGACGAAGGGGATGAAGTTGAAGGTTGGCACGATGGAACGAGTGGGAGGGCGGGGGAGGGGAGAGGGAAACGGAGAGCGGCACACGCTCGAGGTGGCGAAGAGGCGCAAGGGTAAGGGTGCTGGAGCGCCGGATAAAGGGGTGGGTCGGGGCTGACGGCGAGATTCTCTCTCGGCGAGGCTACAAGAACTTCATTTTCCGAGCCATTACGCCCCGTACCACTGCGACCGTCCTGGAGAAACCCCTTTACCCCCTTAAATTAATTTATATCGAAATTTTAAATGACACTCATCGGCCCGAGCAATAAATAACGTCGCCGCGACCGCCTGCGGCGTTGCGACCTCCCGTCCCTTTCCGCCCCGGCCGCTCGCCGTGTCCCTCTCTTCGTCGCTTTTTCAACGAACCGCCGTCACGCCCGTAGATCCTTCTGTCCACGAAATTCGCCAGCGAAATAGCGTGAAGATGTATCACGAAAAATCTCGGCCGCGACGCTTGTAACCAGCATCAGCCAACCGTGAGCATAATTTACG